TTCCTTCCCCCCTGCCCCAAGTCTGCCCGCCCCCAGCGCCTCGCGCCTGCCCACCCCCAGCACCCCGCAGAACAGCACGCTGCTGGTGGAAGGCTGCTTCTGCCCCGAGGGCACCATGAACTACGCCCCCGGCTTTGACGTCTGCGTGGAAGTGTGCGGTATGTCTCCCGCCCTCGGGCCTCCCTCCAGCCTGTCCTGTGGCCCCCGGACTCTGCTAATGGGATCTGTCTCCTCTCTCCTAGGCTGTGTGGGGCCGGACAACGTGCCCAGAGAGGTAGGCCTGCCCCTCGGTGTGGGGTGATACTCTCTCATGGACCCTGAGTTTTTTGGGGTGGGGTGGGTTGGACATGAGAACCTGGGAGTTCAAAGACTCTGTAACCAGTCAATTAAGTCCTGCAAAGCTTGGCTAGCAGGGCCGTCCACCGTCCACCCAGCTGTGCCAACAACCCCTCCTCCCACCCCTCTGTCTGTTTGCCGGTCCCTCCATCCTTCCACCCCTACATCCTGTTTTTCTGTACATCATCCTTTTGCTCATTCACCTGTCCATCCATCTATCCATCCATCTATCCACCCATCATGCTTCCAACAATCCCTCCATCCATCATCCATCCACCCACCCACCCATCCATCCATCCATCCATCCACCTACCACCTATCCAGCCAGCCAGCCACCCATCAATGTCTTCAACAATCCATCCATCCATCCATCCACCTACCACCTATCCAGCCAGCCAGCCACCCATCAATGTCTTCAACAATCCATCCATCCATCCATCCATCCACCATCCATCCATCCATCCTTCCACCATCCATCTATCCATCCAACCAACCAACCAACCAACCATCATCATCTGTCCAACCATCCATCCATCCACCATCCATCCGTCCATTTGTCCGTCCACACATCCCTCCATCCGTCCATCCACACTCCACGGTTCCCAGTGCGGTTCCCAATGCCCTAACTCTGAGCTGCAGTCCCAGCCACTGCCCGGTTGTCTGCCTCCTGCACGCGGTTGACCCCTTAGCTCTCCCTCACACACCCAGTAGCCACGTGTGGTTTGTCTGCCACACGCATGGCCGCGGAGGGAAATGCTGGCGAGCAGGTCACGGTTGTGTTATTCGTGGCATGGCCCTGAATGACGGCCGCTGTTCTGGACCAGAACCCCCTGGTGCTGAGGGGGGCGGGTGTCAGCGGTGCCCAGCGCAGTGCCTCTCCCTGCTGACCCCAGACGCACCTCGGAGCCGCCCGGGGGTGGCTCTCGTCCCCACTCACCGCGGCCCTCTCTGCAGTTTGGGGAGCACTTTGAGTTCGACTGCAAGGACTGCGTCTGCCTGGAGGGCGGGAGCGGCATCGTCTGCCAGCCCAAGAAGTGCAGCCAGGAGCCGCCCGCCCGGTGCGAGGAGGACGGCACGTACCTGGTCACGGAGGTCAACCCCACGGACACCTGCTGCAACATCACCTT